TCCGGTTGAGCATTTAACAGTGCGTCCCAACCTTTATGGCACCTAGGCAGTTTTTATGAAACAGTTTTCACGGAGCAACCAGAGAATGGGCAGGGATGGTTTCAGAATGATTTGCATTACATTTATTTATGTACTTCTATTTCTATTTTATTACATTGTGACGTATATAATGAAATAATTATACAAATCCTCATAAGATTGGGGACCCTCAGGTAGAGATAGTTTACTCCTAATCTCTTATATTTGGAAAATTTTTTGACCCAATTGTTACTCCTTTATTAAAAAAAAATTTTATCCAATTATTTTTTAAAAATATGATCTACTATGTTTAGTGTTTTTGTATTCTTTTTTTTTTTTTTGAGAGAGAGAATCTCACTTTATTTCCAGGCTAGAGTGAGTGCCGTGGCGTCAGGCCTAGCTCACAGCATCCTCAAACTCATGGGCTCAAGCAATCCTTCTGCCTCAGCCTCCCAAGTAACTGGGACTACAGGCATGCGCCACCATGCCCGGCTAATTTTTTCTATATATATTAGTTGGCCAATTAATTTATTTCTATTTATAGTAGAGACGGGGTCTCGTTCTTGCTCAGGCTGGTTTCGAACTCCTGACCTCAAGCAATCCACCTGCCTCAGCCTCCCAAAGTGCTAGGATTACAGGCGTGAGCCACCATGCCTGGCTGTGTTTTGTTATTCTTTATTCTCTTCCTTTAGTTTGCCTTAATGGTTCCCTATTATATAGGTTTACTTTTCCTAACTAATAATTAAATTTTTTTTATAACTAACTACCTTAATGATATTAGTATGCCATACTAACTTCATCTGTAGATATTTTACATTTTTATACAATTTTCAAAGAATAGGAATACAATTTTTTAAAAACAGAAATGTTAGACAAATTGAAAAAAATTTCTGTGTTTATCATAGTTCTAAGAAATGCACTATATTATATGAAAAGCATAAGGTCATTGTTTTTCATCTGTTTCTGTACTTTTCAACTTCTAAAGTATAACAGTGTGGCCATAATGATTTTATCATCATAGTTACCTGTTGGATGTGTTTATATTTTTAATGGAAATGGATAAAATACTGGTAAAAGAATTTATTTAAAAAAAATTTTATTTGGGAAATACATATTTGATATATTCAAATTAATTTTTGAGCTTAACACTGTTACAAACTATTTTGAGTAAAATATATCCTATATTTATGGTAATATTTTATATTTATGGTTATATAGGGAATATGTTTAATATATAACCATTAGAAATATATTTTAATTGAGATATATAATTAGGACAGTTGTAATTTTGTGTATCTATTAATTAATTTTAAATACTTATCAGAAAAATATTAAACCTTTTTCTTAGAGACCATCCTAAGCTTATATTAAAGAAATTGTTTATTTAAATGATTTTAGGTGATCACTAAACTCAAAATTTTATCACCTTTGGAAATAATAATGTCAAATACTGCTTGTGTTGTGGGGAATTCAACCAAGTTGTTTACTCTGATAACAGAAAATTTCAAGGTAAGCGATTTTTATTCTCAATAGTAATATTCAAGATCAAATTGTTGGGGCATGGTGGCTCACACCTATAATCCTAGCACTCTGGGAGAGATTATAAGATGTAAGTAGAGCCAGGCATGCTAGATCCTGCCTGTATTCCAGCACTTTGGGAGGCCGATGCGAGGATCTCTTGAAGCCAGGAGTTCAAGACTGGCCTATCTACCAAAAACATTTTTAAAAAATATTAGCAGAGTGTAATGGCATTGCCTGTAGTCCCAGCTACTCAGAAGGCTGACCCAGGATTATCGCTTGAGCCCAGGAGTTCAAAGCTGCAGTGAACTCCAGCCTGGCAACAAAGCAGGATCCTGTCAGGGGGAA